CTTGATTCTTCTGGATATTTCTTTAATGATAGAAATGGATATTTGAGTTTGTATAAAGAAAATCATCTTATCAGTTCTGCTACTCTTTGTGCAGTACTCTTTGTGATGACTTATATAAATTAAAGTTTAATATCCTCTTTGTCAAGACTCTTTTAACCTTGCATCATAATTTGGCACTAAATGTGGTTTATTGAATGAACGATTTGCTAACTTGTAGTATAAACGTGTGGGTCACATATCCAATAAAAGGATAGAAATATTAGTAAAGAATAAAATCCTTCGTGACTTTGATTTTAGTGATATTGAAAGCTGTGTGGATTGTATTAAGGGTAAAAAAATCAAACATACAAAGAAAGGAGCCACGAGAAGCACACAACTTCTTGAGATAATACACACCGATATATGTAGGCCCTTTGATGTTCCATTCTTTGGTGGAGAAAAATATTTTATCACCTTTATTGATGACTTTTTACGTTATGGTTATGTATATCTACTGTATGAAAAGTCTCAAGCTATAAATGTTTTAGAGATATTTGTCAATGAAGTTGAATGACAATTAGACAGAAATGTGAAAATCATTAGATTTGATAGAGATGGTGAATATTATGGAATGTATGATGAAATTGGACAACACATTGGTCCATTTGCTAAATTTCTTGAAAGACATGACATATGTTCTCAATACACTATGTCAGGTACACCACAACAAAATGGTATAACTGAAAGGAGTAATCGTATTCTAATAGAAATGGTTAGGTGTATGTTTAACAATTCTACTTTACCTATTTCTCTGTGAATGTTTGCATTAAAGACTGCTATATATTTGCAAAACAGGGTTCTTNATTTCTTTGTGGATGTTTGCATTAAAGACTACTATGTATTTGCAAAAAAGGGTTCCTAGTAAGGCAGTTCCAAATATCCCATTTGAACTGTGGACAGGAAAGAAACCCAATTTAGGATACCTACAAGTTTGGGGTTGCTCGAAAAAAGCAAGAATTTATAATCCACATGAAAAAAATTGGACTCAAGAATAATCAGTGAATTTTTCATTGGTTATCCAAAAAAATCGAAAAGGTATAGATTTTATTATCCTAACCATAGTACTAGAATTGTTGAAACTGGAAATACTAGGTTCATTGAGAATGGTGAAGTTAGAAGGAGTTTGGAACCATGAAATGTGGAAATACAAGAAGTTAGAGTTCAAGCTTCTCTACCCTCAACTTCTTCTAATGTTGTTGTTCCTNACCCTCAACTTCTTCTAATGTTGTTCCTCGAATTGTTGAATGGTATGACAATTTTCCAGAATAACAAATAAATGATCAAACATCTCACAATGAAGTTGCTGCTAATGAACCTGCACAAAATGAACCATAAGAAAGAGAATAAGAAGGTCACAAAGACAACATAGACATACTATTTCTGATGATTATGTGGTTTACCTGTAAGAGTCTGAATTTGACTTGGAAAT